AAAAAAAAAGATTGTCTACGCGCGCTATAACAAACGGGTATAGCGTCAGCCATACGTCATCCAATACCTTTTGTGCACATTTTTGTGACTTGGTACTACTTGTTAGGGGAGAACCTTCGTGCCACCATACCGTTAGTCATAATCATTGTTATTGTATAAATTATAGCTCTATACACAATTAACGTATACCCTGGAGACCAGAATAAAGCTTCGGTTACATCTAGCCCGTGCCGCGTGGCGCGTCGCGAGGTTAGATTAATATTTGCTTCAAAATCGGAAAGAGGTTTTATGTTCGACGGGTATGTATTTATATGGATGACAAGCTTTTGTCCCCAACTTCGTTTGCGTGGTATTAGTATTTACAGTCTTTTATTTTTAGTAAATTTCAAAAATAAGAAAAGGTTTCAAATTTTTCAGGCTTGAAAATCGGAAAATTATCCTTATTATATTTGACCAATGTTGCATTCAAAATGTTATACTGAATAATATTCTTAATGAAAACTGCTTAAACTGCGCTCTGTAGTAGTTAGATCCTGAGTAACTCAGTAGTCTGATCAGTCGCACGGATCGCAAAGGTCATGAGTTAGAGTCCCATCTCAGAGTACCAGGGAAAAAGTGAATTTTTCTATAGTTTTCAGCAGGACTACCACGAAATTGGCTTCGATTTGATTAATATTGAATTAAATCAAAATGCACTCAACGTTCAATTGCATTGGATTCAACCCGATATATTAAACATATTACATATATGATTATATACTATACATATTGGACGTTGAGTGCAATCCAATGTCAACCAATGTAGTTGACGAGATGACGGCAGACCTTGCAGCCGTTCTTTTCATTCATGATTTTCAATCTTATTCAGTCGATTATAGTTTCATGCAGCTAATCTTTCTCATCCTTCCCCAGCACTATATAAGCCCTACACTACTCTTGTATGCACTACATAAGCCCTACACTACGCATGTAGACTGTCAATATCGCCTTGAATTGGTGTTTCTTGTTACTAAACGCTCTCTTAACCGTCGTCGCTTTCATTATTTGTATTAGTAAAATAATAATGTAATTGCTACGGCCTTTATAAATTTACATGTTACCGCATACATTAGAAAAAATGCTGATAAATAGTAATAAACACATGCACACCAAATAGTATTTAGTTTTCTTTCAAAAACATCGTAATAAAATCTATACTATTCATCCAATTTATTTACTAAAAAAACTATTTTAATGTACATTAAATTTCTTTGACAATAAGCATATTTATTACTATAAGGATTTAATATAACCTACTCAAATAATCGTCTAAAGACTGACAAAAAATTTAAATACCCTTTTTTATAGATAAAATTTGAAGCTAATTTAAAGCACACTTATTCTCTAGGCGGCATCCGTATATCTCTTACTGTTTAAGCAGTATTCGGCGGCGCCCTTGGCGGTACTTTTGTCCCTAGGCAACCTTTTAGTGAGATAAAAAGTAGCTTATATGATGATCCAGACTAAGAATTGCCTATATACCAAATTACATCAAAATCCGTTAAGTAGTTTATGCGTGAAGGAGTAACAAATATCCAAACTTTCGCCTTTATAATAAAGTCGGATAATAAAATTTATAAATATTTAAAAATAAACGTGTTTTTTCTGTGAAAAATGACACAAAATTACTTCAAAAAGATAAAAAAGACATACATATCTTATAAACTGCTATTGAAGTTAGGTAGATGTTTAGTGTAGGTAGTATATATTTACCGTCTGACTGAACGGTCCTTAAGATGAATGAATGAGTGAACGAAATAATGAATGACGTGTATTATTTTACAAATTTTAAAAAGTCAACCTTATTTTTTTATTCTATTCATAAATTTGCTCGGCAAGTAACACGGGCTAATATAATCACTCCTATACTAAATATATAGAACGGATTTGGGCCGGGTAGGATGGGTTGGGTTGGCTATATATAGCCGCTTATACGTGAAGTAGTGCGTGATTCATAAAATTCAACGAAGCCATTGCTGACAAACTGATAACCTGGTAATGATGTCGAATTGATTATATCTCGCTCATTACCATTTTGCCGAATAAACGATATTACGTTACGGCACATACAGGAATTGTTTTCGGGTTGGTTACATTATGAATTATGCCATTTTAATTTGCATATTCATTCAGACAAACGCTGCTCAGATGTCGAGTAAAATATCTGCGTTATGACACGCAAAAAGTTTTATTGTGAAATGAGAATTCATTCTCAATTTGATATATATAAAAGGGTTTTTATCTTTTCGCTTATTTTTGGATTGGGTTTGGATAAAATTTTAACTTATTACTATCACTCTATTTAAAAAAGTTCTTAATGCCTTAATTGCGCATACAAATCCATTATAAAAATAAAGTCTTTTTAATTTTAAACACATGATATAAACTACATTTTAATAGACACTCTCTTCTTTTAAGAATTAACTTGAACAGTAAACCATAAAGAGATTACATTTAATAACTTAATACAATCGATTAAATCCTATTCTTAAATGTATTTTTGTGATACAAAAAAGAAAATGAAAATATAAACTTAACTTTTTAATTTCGACGACGGGATTGAGTGAGTGTATTTTTAAAGCTTAACAATTTGATCCTAATTCGCATAAATCTAGTAAAGAATCAAAAGAAAAAATAATTGAATACTAAACTTCTAATTCTATATTTATGTAAATCGAAAATAAAACCGATGCATACCATATTGGAAAAGGAGCAAAGTCTGTTTTGCTGTGCTTTTGGACGATAAAAATGGCCCATCATTCACCCAGGTCACAATCCTCTCAGCTTTGCTTTCGTGTCAGTGTTCCGTAGTCCGAACTCGATCTAACAGTGTATGCAGCTATCGAATTCGTTTAACACGTGAATGGACACCAGCCGTAGTTTAATGGCGTCGTATATGTAAAGGACAGGCGCGGTCTCCGTCCAACCAATTTGCAATAAAACAATATAGCGCGGTCTAGCTTGCGCACGTACTGCAACCTCTTAGTATTTTATATTTCTGCTCACTACAAAACTATCAAACCTGCTTCTAACTGTTCGGAGCCTAAGGTGAAATTAATCCGACAGATAGTTACATAAATAGCTTAGTGCCGGTCTTTTAGAAGCCGCCCTACTTTTTCATGAGGCTTAGGATTAACTTTTTGCGGTTAATACCGTAGAGCCAATTTGTGGTGCGACATTAGTGGAAAGTAATGTACAATACGATGAGCCAATTTTCATAATTTATTTTTAATTCACGGCGTGTTCCGTGCTAGCTAACAGTAAAACTACGAGTTTTTATTTAAGAAATAAAACTAGCTGAGTAAGGGTTTTAAACATTTTATTATTTTAATTTTATTATTGTATTGTACATGTTTGTCTTTTTTCGCTGCCCTACATATGGGTGTTAATTATTAACAACAATAATCAACATTCGGTCTAGAAGTTTCGAGCAAATCAACTTCAACAGTTCTGCATCTTTTTTTGGATGATGTAACAACTCGTACATTTGATTGTCATGACAATACCCAAATACTCTTTATTGCTGTTAGAATCTAGGTCGATTTACTTATTATACGTCGAAATTCCTCATTTTGTACTTTTGCTAACTACTAAATGCTAATCATACTCCGCCACAATCTTATTTCAAATGCTTTTTCCTTTTTACACATAGAAGATTAATAATTTTGCCAGTCTAGTTATTCAGTTTGATGTCCTATTGCAAAAGACAAACTTTAAAACTTCAAAATTATATAAATAAAGTTTCTGCTATTTCAGGCTGCCTTCCTAGTTACTAAATAATATTTTTGTTACGTACCTTCTCTAGATATTGCATTCGAATTACAAATTTTGCAATTCAGAGGTATAGTTCCTGGACGTGTTTTGTATAAAAATGTAGCCGCTTCACGATCTCGAAGCAAAATAAATATTTTCTCTCGCTAAAGAAACACCGTTCACTATTCCTGCAAGGGACTTACTGGAACGTGGTTTCATATTTTTAGTACCCAACTCGGAAAATTTTAAATATTCAATAGAATTCCTTTGTGATGTATACAGAAAAAATGCATCTTTATATTCTGAAAAAGCAAAATTAGTTATAAATATTTGTCTTTGAATCATTCATTGAGAGCATGTTGTAAGTAGATAGTGGGTATTTTGTTAACTCTATTTATATTGATGGATACTGTTTATTTCTTCAGAATCCAAAAGTATAAGACCATAGACCATTCTGACATAGTAGGTCTATTTAAAAAAATAAGTAATTATTATTTTTATTTTCGTAAAAGTACACTAACCTCCTTGGTCGAGTGGCTCGCATATCATCAAAATCGCTGAATTTTTAGTTTCCGTCTATTCAGCTGTGGTATCTTAGTTGTTTCAGATCTTACAACATGGGCTTTAGCTACTTAATTTGAGATATAACCAATCTGTAATCCAAGCATTTGTTATAATTTACGAACCACGAGCCCTTTCAGTTCAAATTGTCCAATTACTAATATGTCTAACATTTCATAATGTCCTATGCTTTAAATGCCCAGTTCCCGAAATATTTTCATAACGTCCAATTCCTAATAAAGTCTTATTCTTATAATGTTTAACCCAACATGATACTAGATTGGATATTTTTGAAACTGGAAATTATAGAAACTAGATAAAAAGGAAATGTGATATTTTGAAACCGTTGGACATTTTGGAAATTGGACATTCTGAACTGCAAGATCCCGAATACCATTGCGTACTGAACCGAATGGCTGGTTTTAGAGAGAGATTAGTAAGTGAGATTAGTATCCCACACAACGTAATAAGTTAAAGTGCGCATTGGCTATTACCCAGGTTCATAGTTTACGTGGTAAAATTTCAAAACTTCAATTTAATGTTTATCCTAATTTCATTTAAATTGTGTACATGAAATAACAATGAACTATGAGTAATGAACAGAAATATAAAATTACTCTGGAAGAAATTTTTTTGGATCATTTAGAATGTTGATGAAGAGGCACTTATCTTTAATCAACCAGGGTAAATTTACCCGGTGCTAAAATATATTTATATCAATGAGCGGGTAAAATTTTCTCTACTTCACTGTAAATGTAACCAAACTAGTTCATTCATTCCGGGATATTTCTTTAATACTCAAATTCAACTATAGCCTGAACACAAAGAATATTTTCCATTTTTCCAAAAGGTTTTCTATGTAATCTTTATATGTTTAAAAATGTAAACTTTCGAAGAATTTTAGGCCGATGATGATGAGGCCCACTTAAACCAGCTTTTCATGCATGATTAATGTGCGCTTGTGGAATTACAACCTAACAGTAATAATAATAATAACAAAGATTTATCAAATCAAATATCATTGATTTCGGTCTAAGAAATTTGGCAGTTTTGTATAGCCTGCCGTACTAATGAATGTATATTATTCCCATTAACGTAATTCTAATTTAGTACTACACTTTTATTTTATTGAAACTGTAATCAAATACTGGAAATCCAATATTTTTTTAATCACACAAAAATTAACTCAGGTTATCTATAAAATGTTTATTTATTTCTAAAATACTTTGGAAATTTATTTCTTAGAAATAATGTTGTTCAAATGTTACCTTCGCGTTCGCGGCACTTATTTAATCTATCGCTAAAATTACTAAATTACGTGCACTTACAGTTAATTCAAAATTTTATGTGAAAATGTTATATGATTTTTGTTTTGTTAAACTGTACAATTTTCCAGCCTTTAAACAATTGACCTGGTTCCAGTAGGATAGAACTACGTCACACACGTCTACGTGTCTCTGCCTCGAGAAATCCATCACGGAGAGTACTTGTAAAGCCATCATCAGACATTTAAGCAATTAAATTAAATGAGTGCCGTGTACACGAGGGTGACATTTGAACAGCATTATTTTTAAGAAATAAATTCTCATAGAGTGTATTTTAGTTTTTTTTTTTAATAAACTGCTTAGATAATTCTCTTTTTATGTTTTATTTCAAAAATAAATTTTCTATCGAGTCTCCCTGTATTTAATGGTGTACAAGTATGAAATGCCAATTACAGCTATCGATGGTGTACTAGTGTAATTCGTGGTATAAATAATTGACGATAAATTGCTGTGTCATCGATAAGTATTAAATGCGTATGAGTTTTTGCATACCCGAAATGTATAAATACAGAATATGGACCACTCGCGAACGATATCATTTTTTATATTCATTTAAAGAAAACTAATGCTAAATCCTACCAATAACTTCAAAAGCTTCTGTGAATATGTTTAATTGTAAGGTACGTATGAAAGTTGGTTTCAGAGTTTCACAAGTGGCTACTTTAAAAATTAAGGAACATGAAATCCCTTTAATAGTGTATGAAGATTTGGAATGTCAATTATTTCTGGATAAATATCTCTCGTCAGCACAAAAACAACTCTCAGAATAATTGATTGTTAATTATTAATGTATTTTCAAAATCCTAAGAAGGTGAGAAAGATTCAAAAGTCTAGTGAGTGAGTACCGTATAACTGATAGAGAAAGAGGCTGTCCCAAAAGCATATGTGAAATTTTGCTAGCACAAGACGTTTTGGTATTCTATCATTAAAATGGATTTCTGTTAAGAATTCTCAACGCAAAAAATCATGGATAGACCCAAATGCTTCACTCAAATTCACAGCAAAAACGAATCGAATGCTATATGTTAGGAGAGGGTGTGGTCGATTATGATAATTTCAAAATTAGTGTGATGGTTAATACTTGTCATTAAATGACAACGCTCTATCATATAAGGATAAATCGATTCAAGACACGTTAGATACACTTACAACACTTTTTGTAAAAAAACCTAAATAAGTACTAATTTTAGACAAAAAGATAGAATGTAATAAAGAATTACTCGCTTATTATCGGTCCATAGTAAATAAATCGCATAAACCTTAAATGAGGTTGGTTAACCAGTGTCATTTGGTTAATATAATTAAATCTGTTACGTCGAAAACGTAGGTGTACAACCACTATGGAATTCATGGTTAAGCGTGTAATTACAATGGCACAAAGATTTCATAATAATTCTATAAAACCTTCAACTAGACATTGTCCATTCAAATATTAAACTGATTCTAACATCCTGACCAGTGCTTTATAATTTGAGTCACACCACATATCATAAAAGTCCTTATATGTATATTCTGTAAGGTTTTATGAAAGATTATTTTTAGGACGTTATTAAATATTGTAAGAAAATAAAAATGTCCTTAAAAAGAACTATGTAGTTTATAGATAGAAGCGTGCTAGAGGACACACTCAGAAACGAAAAATCTATTAATGACTGGGCATCGGGCATCAAATGAATCTCTAAAAATTAATTTTAATAACGTATATAATGTATGTTTTATTATATAACTACACCTTAAATGATCCGTAACGCTGGTCTATTTCAGATGAGAATATTTGTTACGTAATTTGTCAGTATTCAGAGTTTTTGTGTTGAACTTACTTCTTTTATTTTTTACTGTTCAAATTTATTTCGTTCTGCAGTAAAAAGTTCAGTGCTAAATAAATTCAGTGAACAGTCTTTATATTGTAAAAACAGAATTTCAATTGTTCTATACATTGCTGTGCTGTAAATAAAATGGTAAAAGTCTTAAATTAGAGACGTGAAGTACGTATTTTGACGTCTGAACATAAGTGGTACCATTTGATCATTCCTAAATGTCCTATTATCTCTCTCATAATTTAATTTTAAATTAATATCCGATTCTTTTGTTTCAGATTTACATTACCAACCTAGACCACCTGCTCCAGAAGGTAAATACATTATATTTTGTCCTTTTATAAATTAAATTCTTTCATAAATCTTCGTACAACAGTCCTTGCGAATTGTTAAAATATTTGCGGCTTTCGTAATAATGATCTTTTATTAAAAAAAACCGAATATTGAGAATGTCAAGCAGTTCGGATATTTTCTTTTAATTTTTTGAAGGGGAAAAATATGTTATGGTTATATTAAGTTAAAATTTTAATTAGCCAGCATAATCAAATTATTGTTAATAAAAGGGCTCTGAAGACTACGTATTTACCGTACGTACAACTCGGGTTGGCTTCAATTCCTAATTTGGGTGATTTCGAAAATTAACTTTCATTTATTTTTTCGGGCGTGATTGTGAGATCATTTTTGGTTGAGATACATTGTTGATTTGGCTAATTTAACGTACATCTACGTATAACATTTTTATCTCCATTCAAATTTAATTAAATTGATTATATCTATGAGTTTTGTTTCCATATCCAAAACAATTGTAAGAGAAGAAAAAAGTGATGATATTGAAGACATATATATTTTCAATTTTGTCAGATTCCGTAGGTATTCAATATAAAAATAATAACCATTTGTGTGAATAGCGCAAATATACAAAGTTACAAATCTCAGCTATTTTGTTTCTTGAGTGCTAATATACGAGTATAACGTGGGTGTTTTTCTACACCTATATAGATTAATTTTAGTGTCAGCATAAAAAAGATACACTTAATTCTTAGGTGTTGACAAAAATAAAGGTAAAGTAGGTATGCAGTACATTGATACATAAATTATTAATAAAGCGCATTAAGCGGGAACACATTTCTAAAAAATACCTATATAAGTTAAAGTCTCAACAAAAAGTATTGACAATGTAAACTCAATGTGTTGAAAATAAAGATTTATTTGTTAGTAACAAAAACAAATTAGATTACTACTTAAACAAACAAATAACACTTAATAATAATCCTACCTAAAAATCAAGAAACGACATTTAAAGTTATTTTTTTATCCAATTCTCTTCAAATGTATTTTAAATAATATTTGTAATTTATTTATTTTGACATCACACACTTTTTAATATGTAAGCTTTTTAATAATTTGACATATAAAAATTAGCAGTATTAGAAAACTAAAGAGTTTTTATGCTCTACATACTATCTAGATTTAAATATTAAAGAAATACTTTTTCTTTACACCTATATCTAATTCCAACACCAATTTCCTTCCCTTGGTGCTGAAAAACCTCTGATGTTTCACCTTAAAGACTATCAATAAGATGGATAAACCCTCACACAAGATAGAACGATTTATTTCCGGAAAGTACGTAGATATAAATATTTTAAAACCGTTTTCGTGCTCCAGAAAGAGACGCGGCGAATTTCCTAATTTTCTCCCATTCACAGGCATCCGCCATCATTTTTATCTCCCCTCTTGTCTCCATTTATCTCGAGCCTCTCGTGTACCGATTCAGGTTCAAACATTTTGTTTGTTTCTTACGAAATTGTTATTTCCGGCTGTTTTCTTTTCTCTAAGCGGATTCGTATTCGGCCTTTAAATAAAATCAAGGAAATGACTTGGCGGTGTTATTTCGCATTCCAATATTTGACCTCTTTCTGATAAATATTCAATTTGATACAATAAAAATCGACGCCTCCATGCCAGAGATCAGTTTCGTAAAGGAATCAATTCAAGTGTAAATGATTTCGGTTATCTATGAGAACGGTCTGACGGTATTGTCATGAAATAAGTTTGAAATATGGCTTACTGCTTAAAGTAGGTAGTTGGGAAAATCTAAGTCATTGTATTGTTAACTAACGTAAGTCTATTAAATGTACTAATCATTAAAATTACGGTGCATTTATTTAGTTTCATAAACATTAACATTGTAATTTTTATGTTACTTCGAGAGCTTGTGATTGTTTAAATCTTTTCTTAATTTACGTCGGGATTAATCGATAAGATGAGATAAGTGGCGGATGAAAAACCAATTTTGGATTTGTATAAAAGATTAATGTTTGCAATTTTTATTCAGGCATGATTTGTGTGGGATGCCAATAACGTTTCAGCTTAGAAACGACGGCGGCATTTTAACTTTGAAATCGAGAAGAAAATTGTAAATTAACTTTTGCCAACTGCTGTGTGAGTTCGTGCCCAACAAAATCTGCTCGGAATTTTAACTAGCACGATAGAGATCATTCGTCCCCAATGCGTTATACAAACGAATGTTCGCCTCTTATTTCCGTTCTCTTTAATAATTTCGTCACAGCCCAGGTGGAAAATTGGGCATTGTGTCATTCACCGCGCAACCAACGAATTACGTTTACTTCAAAGATTTTTCTGAGTTCGAGATCAGAAAAGTATTAGCGCTATTCAAATTCAACTACTGCTTGGTATGCTTTTTAAATACGATTCAGTGTTTGGAGAATCTTAGCATTTGTTTATTTTAAGTCTTAGCTATTGTATCATCGATCCTTTTCGAATCGGCTAAAATAAGGCATAGTTCTCGTTGTGTAGCTTCCAATAAAATATTGGCTACCTACTATAGCGAATTCATTTACAGAAGCCTGTGAAAAGACATTTTGCCGGTGGGGTGCAGAATGTGTATCCCTTGGGGACGGTCGTGCTCACTGCGCTTGTCCAACTAGCTGTCCTAACACGCCTGCTCCGGTTTGCTCAACTGCAGGCCGGACATACCGTAACCACTGTTATCTGAGGAAAGAAGCATGTGAAAGAAGACTCAATCTGAGGGTCAGGAACGAAGGAGAATGTGGTGAGTATTAGAGGTTCTTACAATTGCAATTTTGGTCAAATTTATTTTATGCTATTGTGTTCAAATAAACAGAATTAGAGAGAACAAATTGCAAGTGAAAATTGGTGAAAAACGGATTTAAAAACATTTGACTCGTATGAATTAACATGATACCTGAGGGCCTTTTCAATTTTTCTTCGGATGGAAATTCAAAAATTTTGAAATGTTTCTATAATTTTATTAAAATCATGTCTGTGAAGATTATCTGTGCATCAGACGCAGTGTCAGGTCCCACCTCCGTTGCATTATACATTATCGAAAAATGTGTTTCTTTGTAGTCGTGTTAGCATATTAAAAATAGATGAGGTTTCCTTTTGCGGAGAAAAAGAATAGGCTTTTAGGTTTCATGATAATTCGTACGATTAGTACATTCTTTGTAAACTAAAGTCAAAGTTCAAGTCGCCCATCATTTTTTCCTTACCACTCGTTCCAGACGTCGTTTGGTTGATACGAAAAATTAACTAGAAACCAAAATCTCTATTTCTAAAAAATCTTAATTACAAGTACTAAAAATAAGAATCCTTGTGCTATTTGGATTATCAGGATCAAGTTAACTGAAATAACGGTATTCTTCAATAAAGACAAATTTGCTGAACTAAAATAAGATACGAATAAGATACGACTTTATTTCTTGCACCATAGAGATCTAAATTGCATAGTCTATTTTAATGAAAACAATAATGAAAGTTAACTAAGCTAAACGCATTTAAATTTGCGTTGTTTTCCTCTTTAGTAATGGTCACTGAAAGCAGTGAGCGTGCAACTGTTGGGGGTGGGTACACGGGGTGGCAAAGCTAAGATAGAATAGTAATATTTTTTTATATAATGTTCTTGGGACAAAATTATAACCGGACCTTATAAGCCAATGTTCTTTTCATTTATTGTCAATCTCTATCTATTTATCTTCACACCGTATCCCTTGTTAATTTCTCGTAGTAATAAAATATTTTTTTTGAACATGGTTTTAGATTAATTCATTTTAATATTTCATGTATTATGTAATCTATTGCCAGGCCTGTCCACGAATCATGACAAACTCCAGAAACTAAAGGAACAAGTGAGAGTGAGATGGAAAGTGAGATTGTATCTCGAACTGTTTATCGAGCCTCTCGACCGTTTCTAGATTCTCTTGAGTTCATCATGCTACACGAGCTGACGCCTTGCTTTATTACAGTTGATAGTCACTTTAATTTAAAACCTGGTTCCCTTGAAAGTGAAGTTCAAATGAAAACTGGAAAACTATGTTTTAAAGTTTTATTTGCGTTTTTCTGCGAAGTCTTTACTGTTTGTCGTTTATAATTAAATATAACACGTTTTGCACCTTGCCGTTTATTTATTTTTGCGGAGTATGGAAACTTTTATTTCATTTGACAAATCATTAATACGTAATGCAATAACGTATTCATTATAGCATTTATGATATTTTATTGTGTGTTAAATAGTCATTAACTTTGTTATCATAAATAACGAAGTCGTTAATTTATGAAAGATGTTTATTATAAAACATTTTTCATAAATTATAAATAAATTAGTACAAATTTTCATCTTTATCGGAAGTTTAAAATATTTCTTTCGAATGTTTGGGCGGTTTGAACAGTAACAAGTACTAGAAAAAAATCGCCCGGGTTGCTATAGTTCGTGGGTTCGAATCCCATCTCAGAGTACCACGGACAAAATGGATTTTTAATCAATTTTCATTAAGAATATTAACTAGTATAGCGTTGTGAATCCAAAATAGATCTTTTATCTTTGAAAAATGAAGACAGTCTGAGAGTTGTGAATGTTGGGGTCTTTTTAGGTTGGGGCAAAATTATAGCCTATGTCACCCGCGTATGATGCAGCTTCCAAAGGTGAAAGCATTTTTAAAATTAATCCAATATTTTCCGAGCCTATTCGTTGCAAATAATTATATTAATACAATAAATAATTATTGATTGTTGTTACAAAAACGAAGTTAATCATTTATGTAAGATATTTTATGTAAAAAAAAATAAGTACGCCTGTAAGTTGCGAATATTCAGAATTATATATTTTAAGAAAAATTTTGTTATTTTGTAAAAATAAAAATGCTTCAAACGCATCTTTGGAGAAAGCGAGGAAGCATTCAAGTAAATAAAACATTTATTACTTTTTATTTAAATGAACTTCCAATGTTTTCGACGCTGTATTATAAATGCAAAAGTACTGCTGATAAAAATTTGATGATTTGTAATTAATCTTTCAAATAATTTTATTCATTAAATTACTCCTTTTTGCACATTAACAATATAAAGGAAAAAGTATACGTATGTCTATTGTTCTAGTTTTTGCCTATATACGACTATGTATACGAACGAAATGTAATTTTAAATTAAACTTTTGCGCAAACCTTATCCAATTTGCCGTGCACTAATTGAACTAGTGTGCTTATTTTGGATCCTGTAATGACACTTAGACAGTAATCCTATTCAGTGTAAACGTATTAGGCTGCGTACAAGTAGCAATATTTTGAAGTGCATTTTTAACTTGGGCGTTTAGTTATCCTAATATTTATGTAACAATCGCTAACGTACGTTTCGAAAAAGTCCCTTCAGTCTCAAGCGATCTCTCAAGCGTAATAATTAAAGAGCTAACATTGTTTTTTATCATTTCATTCACAAGTTTTTATAGTACCGGATGATGAATGAATGAATAAACACTTTATTGTACACCACAAAGAAAAACATGAATACAAGCAAATATTACCAGTACAATCGGCGGCCTTATCGCTAAAAAGCGCTAAATTTCTTCCAGGCAACCGTACATTAGACTGGATTGATTGACATAATTGATGAGTACCAAACTATTTGTTTCGATATAACATTGACGTTTGAAAAAAATCTTTGTATTCTTAGTTACAAAGTACAGGCCAAAAGCAAAGAAATTCTTTTGACAGACCACATTATTTTTAGTATTTTAATATAACAGAACATAAGAAATCCACTAGCTTTTTTCGGAGTTTCTGAAATACAGATTTCAAATACAAGAATCATCATAAAAACAATCGAAGTTTGTACAGTATAAAGTGCGTGTAAAACACGACAGTGGGATTTCATTTTTCATCTCTGCATAAGCGCTATAATAAAACAAAAGTGTAAAGTATGATACATTCTTAATAGCAACTCTTGTTATGGGCGTACTTAGTATTTCTTTTTTAATAATGTGTTTTGTCAAAAATTAATATTTTTTGGCCGACAGTTAAATTTTTTTTTATAAAAGCTGTTAATGATCCTTTCCTTCCTTTCCTTTCGTTTAACCATCACAAAATAATAGCTTTTTACCACATCTTTTTCTACTCGTAGTTCTAACGAACTAAATTAACGAGAAGTGAGGAGTCGTTTTTCAACGTATGTCAGTAATAATAGAAAATCTCTTAGGTATTTGATCTTTCGATAATGCTCGTTATATGTGAAGTTACCCTTAAACCTTGCGCAGATGTCGCGAATTGGCTTCAAATTTAGACGTGACTACTAGTTCAATGCTGCAAACGTTTTATTTATTGAACCATTATTTCTTACTAACAATCAATGTTAAACAAAACGCATCGAATTCGCCCGTAACTCTGGACAGGATCTTAAGGAGACTGCTGCGCTAATCGGTCTGACAACATACACTGACAGTTATATTGAATCTTTCAACTTAAAGATAATAAATTCAGAACTTCATAGTGTGTACATAAACATATCACGAATAAGTCTACAATAGTCCCGTTCCACAGAAGCCGGGGATCCATGCACTGGAGTGGGCTGCCCACCCGGCTCGAGATGTGTTGTGACAGCTGGCCAACCCGAATGCCGCTGCCCGAGGAGCTGTCAAAGGCGTAAGCCGGTCTGCGGCACAGACGGCAGAGAGTACCCATCTAATTGCCATCTTGACAAGTACGCTTGCGAGAACCAGCTCAACATCACTGTCAAGTATCACGGGAAATGCGGTGAGAATACTTTATACTAAACATTATTATCTTCAATTAAATAAATTGTCACCGAGTTGCTATAAAGGACTAGGTACAGTAATAATTTTAAAGTTATTAGTTTGTGTATAATTGTTATTGATTACGGCTTTGTGATAAATCGCGTATATAGTTAACTCACTTAAAGTCATGTCATGTAGGGCAGTTAATAGAAAATAACAAAAATGCAAGTCAGATTAGTTTATTAGTTATGAAGAAGAGGGACTCGTGGAGTAAATAAAAAACTACTACGTACTGAGGGGTTAAGATAGTAGTATCGTGTTTGAAAAAAAATAAGTTGATAGTCGTTACGTATACGTTAACCCGCTGTTCGCACTTTACATACATAGCTCTAACCAATTTATATTTTTTTAAAGTATCTTGGATATGTATTTTGACGACGCATGCCATTGTCGCTATCCTGAGGTCCTGGGTTTAATTTATGGTCGCGTTAATGTAGGAAATGAACTTTTCTATTTTGTCTCAGATCTCGGTAAGATGTTACCTTCGTTGTTGCTGATTTCCATAATACTAGTGCTATAACTACAATACTTTATTTGATATAAAAGCAATGTATGTAACATTAGGTCAGTTGCCATTGTCCATTAAAGTTTAATGACGCGTTTAAGCTCTAATGAAACTCAAGTTTGTATGGAAAAAAGCTATAATCTAATGACAGTTTTTATGTACGTTTGTGCAACTGGCTGAACATTGATAAGCTGATACTAGTTGTATTTTGGAAAATAAATATATAAATAAATATATTTTCATTAGAAAAGTATAAATACAAATATAGGTAAATAAAAGAAATGGGATACAAAATGATCGATGATATATTAGACTGCAATACCATTATTACCAGGTATTCAATGGACACTTGGAAACGCCGAGTGGCCCCAGAAGATTTTAATGAGGAAAATTAATTAAGGAAGTTGACCTGTATTGTTGGTTACAATGTTGGAAAATATAAAGAAGACCTCGTTAAGGACGAGTCATTCTTGATAAATGAGTCGTAATAAAAATTTAGTTTTTTCTCGCTTTAATTGTTGCACCCGGTACCGATTCAATCTTCTTTACAGTACGAAAAATCGTTGAGGTCGAATCTAGAAGCAACGAACATATTTTCGTGTATGAAAATCTTAGTTCCGTTTACGGAGCCGTGCCAATATCACTACAATTTACTTGGTTGACTCAAAATCGATTTTGAATATTATGATATTTTAATAATATTTTGCTTTATATTTGTATTTTACTGTCACCCGGTTTCTGAATTATGTATTTAACGTTAAACTCGTTTCAAACTACTTAAATCGATTTTCGTTTCTGGTTTTTGTTATTATGTTTTTTTTATGAGCTGATAGCAGTTTGATAAAAACTAGGATATTTTGTTTTAAGAAAATAATAAACTTAAGTTATTGAGTATAATCAGTTGACTTTTTTATGATCATTTTCATAAATGGAATAGAATTTTACCGTAGAACACTAGTGCCATCTATTGTCAATAAAAAACAAAGAAAATTGTGACCTTAGGGTATAAACACATAGGGAGCAGCGTAGGCGGCCGAAAAAAATCTTGCGCTCGTACCACTATGAATTACACTGCAAGGGCACCATTTTAATAAGTTCGTACAACACAAACTTATTGAGACAAAATCTATTAAGCATCTGGCTCAGTTAAAATGTTCGATGGGGCCAGCGGGCGGATGGGGCAAGTGGATTGCGGGTGAATGAAATAGTAATCTTCACGTCGCACGCGGATATCATTGACCAGTGTGAATACGCAATCGTGGAAGTATGTAATAATACGCGATGGAACATCCGTGGAGTGTGCAAAATTTATTGTCATATCATAAATTTGTCAGTTCTGACGTTGCACGATTAAGGATAGCGTACCTTCCGTTAGAAACGTACCAACCCTAACATGAATTAAATTCAAAAATGTGTGTAACCCAATATGCCAAAGTAAACGTGATAAAAATAAGCTACGAACATAACAAACGAAGTTTTATTTTCTTTACAAAGTCCGAACAGGGTGGGCTATTTCCTCCTCCGTAAAACTAATTTAATCTACTTTACTTTTTTATTATGGAGATAGGTGCCTACGTTGTGTTAACCCTTTTCAGAAAACTTATTCTGGAACGTTCGATCTGAACTAAACATATACAAGACCGCACATTCCGACATCCATTGTGAGATTCTGTTTGCTTTTCTAGTTCACTTCTCTACTTTTAATAAATGTTACGTTTCTGCGCCGCGACTCCGAACTTAATTCAGTTCGCAATTCGGCACCTGCCTGAAATACTCGATATTAACGCGGAATTGAATATAACAGTACTTTTAAGAAGCTCTGCTTAAGTATTTAGTACTCTAAAGGATTAAGAGCCCTCAACTCATTGTAAGCATTTTTACAAAACATTCTTGATAAATTCGAAACAGTAAAATATTCTTTTGGTACAAATTCAACGCAAAATTCCTTTGCACTATTTAAAACTGGAGAATTAAAGGTTTTCTTTTATTCTTAAAGCTATTAAGCGAGTTGATCATATTTTGTTTGCTATGTCATCTATCATAGTAGAAAGACCATTGAGCTAAAAAAAATGTTATATCAGAACAAAATCAAAACTAAAGTGAGGCATTAATTGACTTAAGATTTGCTCATTTAAAGTTTAAGAGGATATCGGAGTCCACTTACTTAATGCTTCTTTTACTCAGATCCGTGTTCAGAACACGAATGTGCTGATGGTGGAATATGTCAGCTGAACGAAGTAAGGGCGCCTGTTTGTCGATGCGGCCCACCGTGCGATTTAATCGCTCGTCCTGGCTCAGCTCTATGCGGGTCTGACTACAAAGACTACCCTAGCGAATGCGCTTTGAGACGAGAAGCATGCCGTACTAAACAACAACTGACTATTGTATACAGAGGAGAGTGTGCGTCGGGTAAGTGGTAACATGTTGACTGCTTCTCTTAAGGTTAAGTTGTGTGGTTTGAGAATAGCTCCTTATAGGAGTAGTTGAGTTAAATTGGATTCAGTTTATAATAGAAAAAACATAAAAGTTATAGAATTAAATTATTCACATAAAGTTGGATAGTAAAATCTTGACAAAGCAGTATTAGATAGTGAATATGAAATGTATTGCAGAATCTTCTATCAATAAAAGTTATATATATAATATGAAAACAAAATTGCAACTCTACCTTCATTTGTTTATCTGGATTTTATGTAGTATATATTTGTCACTACACTTTGCTCAAATTATTAAATATACACAGGCTAACGATCAGAAAATATATGAGTATTTTTTTAATTAATTAGTTATTCTTATTATCTAGTTAAATAAAAAAGAAATGTACTGTTGCTCTTAGGAATAAACAGCATTTTATTTTGAAGCAACACCAATTTGTTGAAATACAATAACAAAATATATCACAAAAGAGAAATTAATAATAAAATAAAATAATAATAATTAAGACATACCATAACAAAAGTTAATTAACGTAACGAAATTCGGAGGTGGAACTGAAAGTTAGTTTTATATTTTAGCTCAGCATCCATGTGATTCAGTGAAGTGTGGCGTCAGAGAGCATTGTTCCGTGGACCCGCGGGGTGTAGCTATCTGTGGATGCGGTCCCGAATGCGAATCTGTAGTGAGGCCCGTGTGTGGTACAGATGGAAGGACATATGACAGCGCATGCTTTCTCGACAAAGCTGCATGCTTGGACAACAAGGATATACGTGTGGCTTACATTGGACCTTGCGGTAAGAAACAGGAATAGGAATCCTATTTATTAAGGGTTGGAGCCATGTATTCTTTCCTTCCATTCTTTTCTGTCAGACGTATGAAACGGAAAGAAAAGGAAAGAACCTTCCATTCTTTTCTGTCAGACGTATGAAACGGCTCAAACATGTGTGATTATGAGAACAAGATCTAAGTGTAACCTCTGGCCTTCTACTCTTAAAATCTAAATTTGAAATATTCTGAACTGTTTCATCGTCTTTCCTGCTCTGACTTATATATTTTTATTACTGTTATAGAGCAATATATAAATTTTCAAAGAAATATATAGAGCAATATTAAGTTGCCGTAATATCGAATATCCGTTTTCAAAGTTCAGCCCTCTCTGTCTTCCTATACACCTTCTCCCTTTTCTTTTTGAATTATTCTATATCCTTTGTTTGTTAATTTATTTTTCTGGATCAAACCCACTTCTCTTAGTAATAACTAGCAGTTTCCAAGGGGTATTTTGATGTTGCATTATCTTATCTTTAATCCTTTCAAGCAATATCTTCTTTATATTCTTTATATTCTATTTAATATTTCGTGTTCTCTGTTTATATCTCTCTACTTATATTGTACCCGTTTCGTAAAAGTGTTTTTGTATTATTTATTCTTTCTTGCTACTTAACAAAGTATGCTATTTGTATTTATTAAAGTAGTTGCGTTATAGACATATGAAACTTTAATAAGTAGGCTTTTATTTACTTTGATCCCAAAGCGATCCCCTCGGGTATGATAGCCAGTTACGAAGATCGTCAATACCTACTACTTTAGTGAATAAGAAATGAACTGTAATCAGTACCCATTTACTAAAATGTTTTACGGTCATAATTTTTTATATGGTGCCTTAAATTATTTTCATGTTTCTAGGCTTACTACACAATTTTATAATTGAATAAATTTATTGAAATTTATCGAAAGTGTTATTTACATTACCGAGAGGATTTAAAAATAATTATTTGTTTAAATTTCGCCTTTTGAGGAACAATTACAGTCACGATCTTTATGATTGAACTCGTAAATACAGTAGATAATACAGTAGTAATATACAGTAGACTAGCAGCTAACTTTTCTTATATGTTTTTCCCTTTACATAATGCAGCATTGATGCTGTTTGACAATGAATGCTAAACTATCTAAAAATAAACGATATACTAACTTCGGGACAACTTCGTTGATGGTTTTGAAATCATATTTTTCAACAGATCACTCAGTCAGTCACTTTTGCGTTTTATATAAGGAAGAAGCAATAATGCCATGTTTTTTTCTTATGAATCATCATCATCATCATCAGGCCTTCTTTATAGGTGGATAAAGAAGATGAACCATGACTCTCCACGTTGGCCCAATGCAGATTGGAGGGTATTATCGCCTGCAAACGCGACCGAGACTATCAGCTTCACGTACACAACACAGACTAGCTCAACATAATATTTTTTTGATCACCCATCCCGTGACCGACTCTTGCGAAAGTTAATTAACAGTAAACGCGGGTCACAGCGCTTATCCACTATGCCATCGAGCTACCCTTCTTATGAACATTGTTTTTATATTTCGTAGGTTCTGAAAATCCATGTGCTCGAGCAACATGCCCTTGGGGTGGCGCGTGTGTGTCACGAGGCGGTGCTGCGCAATGTGCTTGTCCAGTTTGCGATGCAACACTCGCGCCAGTTTGCGCTACAGATCACAACACATATGGAAGCGAATGTAAAATGAGAATGCATGCATGTCAAGAGGGAATCAAGGACGGTGAACTTCGAGTGCTTTACAATGGGACATGTCGTGAGTATTATATGAAATAAAATAAATTCAATGTCGTTTATTCGTTCTGCAGACGTGAATCAATATAGTTTTTAAAATTTTATATTCATGAAGAAGCCTTGGTGCTTTTCTGGCTGCTTCTTAACACACATTACATTACAATTATTGGCATTTAACAGTAAAAAAGTATTTCCCAAATAATTTTAGATATTACAGTAATTTCAGCAAACAGATTAGCATTCCCACACAGATTTCTTAAAGTCGGGCGGCCGAAAGTATGACCGACAAATCCTCATCCCAAATTAAATTCAGGTTATTGTATTTGTTGACTACCTTTGTAGTGTTAATAAGAAGTATTTAGACTTTTTCTTCAAAATAAAAAGAAAAAAATAATATGGTAAATTGTTCTCAATAGCAAAAAAAGTCTACCAGTTCTCCCCGGCTGTAAATCTTTAATTAAATTATTGAACGGACTGATTGCTTAGCATGAAATTTATTTTTCAAATTACCATTATCAAATTTGCAATGTTTTACTTAGAATATTATACCACAAAGAATCATGTCCAATTTTAGCCTAAATTTTACTAACGCGTCTAGTGATGTAATATATCTGAAAATATAGCTTATTTTTTATATAAGGAAGTTAAATCTTAAAATAAAGTCATGATAAAAATGACGATGTTGATAATTATTTTTAAATTGTACTACCCAAATTCGATTCGGTTCCAATGATGATTTGCTTCGTTTCATTTCATCTACTACGGAAAAATATTCTTTAGTCAAACGATAAAAAATGCACATTAAATATTACATTTAAATTTATATTTATAATTTTTTTAATTTTTATAAACTATAAAAAGCTTTTATTGCATCAATTTTTAAAGTAGGTTCACAATTATCTCGAATTCTGACAGCTGGTATAACCTCAAAACATTAAGTATAGGGTAAATATGTATTATTAGAGAAAACAATAAAAAAATTATATGTTTATTTGGGCAAATAATAGTAACCATATCTGTAAATGAAAATAAAAAAGGTTATCTGAATTAAAACAAGCTGGCAGTACGGTTTAGTTCATTTGCCTTTTATAATGGACGCAACACACTACTACTAATGAAACGCGCCAATATTAAAACGAGCATCATTAAATAGCGGCCTAATTGAATTAATTAGTTATTATTACTAATTCTACATGTAATTTTGCTAAATAGAATTTTTATTTAGCATAACGAATTATTTAATAGCCATTGAGTTAAAAAGCTATGTACAGTAGTACTATATCTCTTACTAGAGATACAACCTCCATTAATAAGGTGAGTTTTCTATTTCTCTTTTTTATAAGAATGCCTTCGAAGCCTTCTTTGCAAAACGCCCGTTTTTGCTTCTTTTATATAACTAGTCGATTGTTTATTATTAGTAGAATCCCTACTGGTTCTGAATTTTGTAACTTCGTTATTTTTTATTAACTTTTTTTGATATTATAACTTCAAACTCTTTTTATCGTAGCTACAATCTAGTAATAATTTCTTTCGAAATATTAAATAAAGAAAATACATCCGTAAGTATTTTCCATATTTGAAATTATGTACATACGTGTGATAAAATTATTATTAAAAAAATTAAAGGTTACCTTATTCTATCGTTCCTTTCTTCATTTGCTTCTGTGTTTTAACATAAGATTGCGGTTATACTTTTTTGTACGGTTAATTTTATCTGAATTTATGTTCCTTACTTAGCTATAACATAATAAGTATCCAAATTTAATCATTGTCTACAGAATCCTGCGTCGACATAATATGCCAAGGTGGGGGAGATTGCGCAGTTGATATGGATACTGGTCGTCCTATCTGTCGCTGTAACCACAACTGTACTGCATCTGTAAGTTATCAAATTTAAAGGTCCATATCCACAAGTAAAAATGGGACACCATTATTAAGACTTTGCTATCCGCCTGTCGGTACAGACAGCACCTGGTGACAGCACCAGGCCGTATCTCACGAACCGTGATAGTAAGACTGTTGAAAATTATACAAATGCCGTATGTAGTTTTGTTGCCTCTAAAAAAATAAGGGATACGAAAAACAAACAATGTGTTGTTTTTGGGTTTTGTTCTAATATTTTGAGTAAAAATTTGGAAAAACGCCCACGATGAATTTTGGTAATGCTATTATTGAGCGTATTGCTCACACTTAATTGTATCACTACCTATATTATAAGAGTTTGTCACGTTTGCATCATGCCATAGAAGCGTTTTATCAAAGTAAACATACTATTACGTGATAAAGAATAGTAATTCTTTTAATTTTCATGTAAATACGCGACTGTGTTATTCAGTATCATTATTAACATACCCACTGTATTGGATAACATCTTTTGTGAGAGTGTCTGTCTGAGAGTCCTGTATTATGAGATTCGAGTCTTTCTGACTCCTACTAATGTTATTTTAAGGTTTACACGATCAAATCGCTCAACTAACTTATAATTAATGTAACTTTTGAGGCTATGTTTTTTCTAAATATAAATTAGTTATAATGTCTGAAAAAATTAGAAATATGAAATGGTATAGTTACGTGGGTAGTGTTATATGGCAAGAGATAGCATAACAACTGTATTTTGCCACCACACACTATATATAGCTTCTGAAAGTCACCGTGGGCGGTTTTCTGTATAAATTATTATAAGAAACGACTAGCGTATATCACCAGTCGTATTAGATATAGAGTAGGCACTATTCAAAATAATTTTATTTCTATAAGTAATGGACATTGTTTAAGTTCATATTCCTTTCTTCATCTCATAATCAATAATGTAGTTGAGAATCATTTTATTTTTAATAGTGGTCTTGCAAGTTTTAATATTACATAAACAAACTAATGTAACTATACTGTAAATTTATACTATGAATGGACTAAAACTTGTTTACATTTTTCTTTCATTCCGATGAAGAAATAACAGGAAATCCACTTAGATTTGAACGAATATCGACTTAAGAATTACTGTTACTCCAAGTCTATTTAGAAATAAACCCATATCTATTCCAATTCATCCGTAATCTTTTACTATGAAGATGTTTCGAGGTAGGATTGAGTATGATTGTTCGACCAGAAGGGTCCTTTACGAGAAAATAAAGTTGTCATTGGTTGGTAATAATAACTTATCGTGTAATACTGATTCTGTTATGAAACTAGTTTGGTTTTAAATTCGTTATTTTCTGAACTGTTTGCCATAATATATGTTCTGAATTAAACATTATATATAAGCTATCTACTAATATTTTCAAACGTAACGAAATTGTATCTTATATTAAAGAGTGCTTACGTACTAATGGATAAGAAATTGAATAAGTACTAGACT